ATCCTGCTAGCCATCGCAGCCGCAAGGCATCTGCCACTCCGCCAAATCGACGTAAAGAACGCGTTCCTGTACGCGTTAGTAGACGCCGTGATCTATGTGGAGCAGCCGCACACCTATGGCGAAGGGGACGCGCGCGTGTGTCAGCTGCGAAAGTCGCTCTACGGCATCAAACAGGCACCGAGACTGTGGCAGCAGTACCTGCACAACATCCTGCTTGAAATCGGGTTCAAGCAGATGCCACACGACCCAGGAATGTACCGCCGCGACTTCCGCGGGGAATACATTCTCCTCACGGTGTACGTCGACGACCTGCTTTACACAGGCTCGAGCAACGAGCTTCTCGAGCAGTTCGAGAAGGCCTTGGCAGGGCGCATTGACATCACGTGCAACTACGAGGTGAAGCAGTTCCTGGGCCTTAACATCTCCTATGCTCCTGAGGCCATTCACCTTTCAGCGGCTAAGTATGCAGAGGAGTTAGGGAAGCGGTTCAACATTTCACCGGCATCTCTCTCAACTCCCTATCGCACCCCCGGACCAAACCACAAACCTGACAACAAAGCCTTATCCCCTGCTGGGATTCAGACTTACCAGCAGCAGTTGGGATGTCTTCTCTTCGCCTCTGTCACCTGCAGACCAGATCTGTCCTACATCGCGAGTCAGCTCGCGCAGTACTCACGGAAACCAACGGCTGAGAATCTCCTGGACCTGCAGCGTGCCCTTCAGTTCTTTGTTTCAACGCCCAAGATTGGGCTATGCTACTTGTCGAGAAAATTAGGCAAAAAGAGAGAGGGTTGAACTAGCAAGAATGGGGATACAAATAGCAAACCCTAGAAGGGTTGTACTCGCTACAGAGCACCCCACTGCAGGCTAGACAAATATAACATTCTGACACACCCCCATAGCCAAAGTGGGGTGTAATCAGCAGAGCAAGCAAAGCAGTACAAGCTCAGGGTGGATCACGATGTCACCACACATTCTGAGCACAAGTTCAAGAAGCAACAGTTTATAAGTTATGAGCAAAGCTAGAGGCGGTCACAGAGGACAAATGAGGAGGAGGAGGGCTGGCGAGAGGAGAAAGGAGTGGAGGCGACGACTGAAGCTGCAGACACACGGGCATCAGACGGCTCTGGCGCAACGCTAGTGGCTACCGGAAGCAGAGCCCCGGACTACAGGGGTAATAGTCGCTGCGGAGGGTGCAGCGGACCCACGGGCGACAGGTGCAGCCGGCTCTCTGAGCTACCGGAGGTCCGCGGAACCCCGGAATACAGGTGCTGCGGACGACACGACGGCAGTCTCCGCTCAACCTCCCCCAACAGTCCCACACCCCTCGACACACACCCCTTGCTTCACCCCTAGCTCCACTCCCACGGTACCCCCCCTTAAACCCCAAACCCTAGACTCCCACACACCACCCCCCTCAGCGGCAGCTGCAGTAGAGGGAGACTAGGGAGGAGGAGGAGTAGGTAGAGTAACGCACAACCGACACCCCCACAGCCGCCACCCCCACACTCCCCACCCCCAAACCCTAAAACGGGCGAAAGGGAGAAGGAGCGCGGGGGACGGCGAGGGGGAAGGCGCGCGACCCCCAGGGCGCCACCTCTGGGCAGCGGGGGCCGCGCGCGGCTCCCCAGGGCGCCTCGACGGGGCAGCGGGGGGCCGCGCGCGGCTCCCTAAGGCGTCGCGACGAGGCAGCGGGGGCCGCTCCGCGCAGCTCCCCACGGGTCGCGACGGGGCGCGCGGGCGCGCGCCAAGGTGTCGCGACGAGACGTCGGGGGCGACGCGCGGGGCTGCGGGGCGACGCGGGGGGTCGACGGCGACGGGGGGAGGGCGCTTCGACGGTGGGAAACCGCCGCGCGCCTCGGGGCGCACGGCGTGCAGAAAACCGCCGCGCGCCCCGAGCGCACGGCGGGATGAAAACCGCCGAAACCCTAGAAAAAATTCGCACGGCAGGAAGAAGTCGTCGCGCGCCCGAGGCGCCCGGCAGGAAGTACAGCAGCGGAAGCATTAGGTGGTGGGCCCACCCACAGGATCGACCCAGGAGGGTCGACCTGCTCTGATAGCATGTCGAGAAAATTAGGCAAAAAGAGAGAGGGTTGAACTAGCAAGAATGGGGATACAAATAGCAAACCCTAGAAGGGTTGTACTCGCTACAGAGCACCCCACTGCAGGCTAGACAAATATAACATTCTGACACTACTCAACTGTGCCGACTCCATCTTTCAACCTCATCGGCTACGTGGACGCCGATCACGCAGCAGACCCCGACAATCGACGGTCCAGGACCGGCTTCCTGTTCCGACTCGAGCCATCGGGACCAATCTCCTGGAATTCACAGAAGCAGGAATTGGTTGCCCTGTCGTCAGCCGAAGCGGAATTCATCGCAGCAACCGCAGCAGTTCGCGAAGGCCTCTACCTGCAGGAGCTTCTGCAAGAAGCGAAAATTCCAACTTCGCCAACCTTCCGCCTTCACTGCGACAACCAGAGCGCGATTCGCATCGCGAACAAACCTGGTTTCGTCAACCGCACCAAGCACATCGCGCTGCGGTACTTCTTCGTGAAGGACGAGGTGGACAAAGGCAAGGTCAACTTAACCTACTGCCCGACCGGTGACATGGCAGCAGACTTCCTCACGAAGCGACTGCCACGCCAGCAGTATCAGCACTGCTCCGAACTCAGCGGCGTGGTCAAGCAGGTCAAGTCGAGCTACGGCCAGGAGTGAAGGGGGGTGTTACGAATAGTAATACTTGATATTACTGTGCACTCCTCACCGCAGCAAAGAGGCATGCAGTATCGAGAACGAATGCGAGGAGTCAGAGTTGACTCGAAGCGTCAGACGGTTAGGGTGGATCTAGACCGTCGGAGAAAAACGGCATCGGGCAGCTGCAGGGACAATGAATCTGGCGGGAACAGTTTCGTAACTGCTCGGGCCGCACGGTTGGTTTGAATTCGAATAAGGGAATGTACCCCTTAGAGTACATGGCTAGCTAGGTCGCTTCGTATTCCCCTGTACTCATATTTATATCGTTGTATTTGCATGTTTTAATCATCTCAAAGCATTTTACATTCACTCTGCTATTGAGGTCAAGGGCCCACCAAACTATCTCACTACGTGCGAACCTTCCTGGGTAGATCCTGGGCTACGATCAACTTCTGATCTCAGCACTACAGAACACGTAGGGAGCTCTAGCTTCGTGCCAGACTAGCTCATGCTCCGTACCGTTTCCTCTCGCTGTCGATGTCCACCTCAGCTGCTAGGTAGCCGTCCGAAGCTGACCACGATGACTTGGCAATGTGACCTTCCTGAGTCACAACACCAGAAACCGCGGCTTGAACTTCACCTATCACACCATGGGAGAAGATCATATTGGGGCCGAACATGATCATAGCAGGGAAGTGTCCAAATTAGGGCCGGATAGCCGAACCTGGAATTTTGGAGCGAATAACCGACAATTCCATATTCGCGTAAGTGATTTCACTTGTCATAGGGTTCTGGCCATCCCGTGCGTCGTAACTGATGGAGAGTAAACTTCACGTTTTATGGTCGATATATTTCAGTATTTTCCACCCGTTTGTGCTACCAAGCACTAGACGACGCACGAAAAACTGTTAGGGCAGAGCAGGAAAACTATAACCCTTAGGAAACCTGGACGCGTTTTCGGGATGGATCAACCCTAAACGCGGGAACCCGCCTGGAATTTAGGGTTGATGCCTCCCCGAGTCGCATCCATTTCCGACTGGGTTTTAATTTTGAATTGTCAGCTAAAATGATGGTTTTGATGCGGAAAACAATCATGTACTTCTGTTCTAAATAAGTTAAACAAGACGAAACCACCCCCAGAGGAATACGACGCGAGCTTCGTAATAGGCGGCGAATATAATCTAAACCAAAACATTGAACCAATAAAGTCCAAATTCAGTAATTTCCTTTAAAGCTTGGTTCGGAACCTCGGCCCAGCCACCTGGGCAGCCCCGGGATTAAATCCAACGGTTAGGATATACCCGGCCCTAATTTGGTCACTTCCTGCTAATGTTCGCCCCCAGTTTGATCTTTTCCCTCACACCATCACGACTCGATTTTCGCATGACGCTGGCAGTCGAATGAACCTTTCAGGTTTTTGACACCTGTTCTGCTTTGCTGGAGACACATGTGGCTGAGTACGGGGAGAAACATCGTAAGGGGTGGGGTTTATACATGTTGGATGCAGCTTGTTTGCTAACCGAGGTAGCGAAGGTGGAACCTAGTATGGGGAAGACATCGCCCGAATCCCTCCGGGAAAACCCGTTCGCCCCTGCGGGTTTTCCTCGGAGGGATTTTCGTTTTCCCGCAGTCGCCTAGCGGGGCACGTGAGGGGCGGGAGCCAACCCCCCCCCCCCCCCCCCCGCCCGGAAACGGGCACCCCCAGCTGGCGCCAGCTGCGCGTGACGCCAGCAACCCGCGCCCTCGAGCTGGCAGTGGTCCCCACCCAACCGAGCCCAATCCCTCGCTCGGTTCGTGGACGGGTTCCGTCCGGTAACCCAGCCATACCTCGCCGAGCGATGCATCGCCGACGGAACCAGTCCGCGAAATTTCGCCGGCCAGACGGAACCGACGCTCGTCTGCACCGCGCTCCACCGCTCTACCCCTCGACGGGCCCGTTTCGTTCAAGCCGCTCGATCTTGGTGACGTGTCGAAGGCCCCCTCCCGAGCCTTGAAAGGGGCCTTTCGGCTGCATGCAAGGCGGCCCAACCCATGCAACCAACAACCAGGTTTCACGTTGAGGCCAATAGGGCTCCGCCGGTCTTCGCGAAGGGCTCCTCCTCCCGCGTCTCGGAACGCGCCCTGCCTCCTGGCCCTTGAACCCCCCTGGTCCGTCGCGGTGGGAGGGACGGCAAACAGCTAATACCCTGCGTGCGGTCTCATTTTGTTGCTGTTTCCGATTTTTACTTCACTTCCCTACTTCCTAGTCCCTGCTAGTTCCCAACTTCCCTGCGCGCCCGCCCTCTCCGTTGCTAGGACTGACATGGCTACGGGCCCCGCCTCCGTACCCGTCATGAACGAGCCGACGGTTCGACGCGGCGTCATCCTAAGTGCAGGCGGGGTCGAGGTGGAGGTGTACGAGGACCAGCTGGATGCGATTCGCGAGGCGCCGAAAGGGGAGCTCGACGAGAGCATGATGGTCGCGGGCGTCGTGTACGTGTCCTGTCGAGCATTTTCGGTTTGCCATGTTTCGGTTTACCTGTCGCTGACGTTGCCTTAGCTTTCCGTGCAGCCTGTTCTGTCATGAGCTGCTGTCCGTCAAGCAGCTCCCCGAGGTGTCGATCGTGACTCCGGCGCGTGCGCGTGAAGAGTTGGCCCGTCCCACCCCAGTCGCTTTTGCGAGCAACCACCTCGACGGCCTCCTCGGCAAGCATGTGGTTTTCGTTCTGCTGCGGACACCGTGAGTTCGACACTATCCCGTCCTTGCGTGCTCCGTCTTTCTCCCTGAACCCGTTCTCACGTGCATTGGCTCTGCATGCAGAATGAGTGTGGCTCCGTTCTCCCACTCGAGCCTGTTTGTGGTATCGCGCCCCGACGATCTGCTGGCTCCGAGGCACCGTGGCAGTCGAACTCGAATGATGCACTTCGATTCGAAAGACAAGTTTCCCGATATGAACCACCAATCTTCTCTGGCGCAAGAAGTTTTCGTGTGAGTGACAGCTTTGCCGCCCTGCTGTCGAGCTGCTGTTCTTGACAATCTTACTCTTCTCTCTGTTGTGTCGCAGGTGGATGAGGAAGCAGCTTTGCGCCGAGTACGCGATGACCCACCAGGCTCCGACCTTGCACGACCAAGAAGTGTTGAAACTGATCGACCTTCGTCTGGAGTTGAACGAGGATTTCGATCTGCTGGTAAGCTCTCCTTAGACCCCCAGTGTTTTCGTCGAGCATGTGATCTGTCGCTTACGTATGTTTTCACCCGTCGCAGACGACGACGCCCTTGTCGAGCCCCTATGAAAACGGCGCGGCAGCTCGTGTCGTGCATGGGGTGCGCCGGATTCTGTCGAAATGGAACGCCTTCATCGAGCAGCCTCGAAAGGGCGATCTCGTGCCTCTCGGGAGAACGAACCCTGGCTCGGGTGCGCTTCCGGTGTTCATGGCCAAGCTGTTTTCGAGAAAGATCGTCCAGGTTGCGGAGGGAGCAGGTGCGAGAGGGGGTGCCGACCACGAGGGAGGAGGCGAGGAGTCGGCACGCGTCGTTGTTGAGTACAGCATCGAGGAGGAGGAGGAGGAGGAGATCGAGATACATCGAGGCAGGCTCAGCACGGGGCGAGCGGCCGGGGCGGCGATGCGAACATGGACGAGGACTCGGGATCGGGATCGAGCTCCGGCTCGAGCTCGAGCGATGAGTCGGACGAGGAGGACGGCGAGGGCGCCGGACATAGCACGGAGCGTACGGGGGAGCACGGAGTGGCGCTCGGGGAGCGGGTGGACGAGCGGGTGAAGCGTATCGAGTAGCAGGCGACGGGGGAAAAAAAGGCTGTCGAGGAGCAGGTGGGCGGAGCGGCTGCGCAGGAGGGTGGGGTCGGAGGGCAGCAGCAGGTAGGCGAGGCGGCTGCGTAGGAGGACGGGGCAGGAGGGCAGCAGCAAAAGGGCGTGGCGGCTGCGCAGGAGTGTGGGGCAGTAGTGCAGCAGCAGGAGTCTAGGGTTGCGGCTGCGCGGGTGGGTGGGGTGGGAGGTCAGGAGCAGGAGGGCGGGGAGGCTGCTGAGGAGTATCGTCGAGGAGATGAGCGACAGGCCACGGTAACAAGGAGACACCGCACGGCCAGTGGCAGCGGACAGGCGGGCCCTTCGACCGGAGGGCCTTCGACGGCGGGCCAATCGACGGCGATTGTTGCACCCGGAGGCCAGGTAGTCGAGCTTCTGCAGAGGGTCGAGAAAGTCGAGGCGTCGCAGAAGCAGCTCGTCGCCGACGTGTTTGCGAAACACACTGAGCAAGCTGGAGTATTCAACACGCTTGCTGCGGATTTTCGGACGGCCTGGAATACGATTTCGGAGTCGTCGAAGAGCACACTGTCGCGGTGCGCCGAGGCTGTGAAGGGTGTCACAGCGGAGAGGATACTGTTGGAAGGGGCGCGGGCGAAGATCGACGAGATGACCGGGAAGATCATCGAGGGGGTGACAGCCGCCATCACAAAAGCGAGCGAGGACGCCGTTGAGAAGCAGCTCAAGCAGGTCGAGGAGCGGCTGGTTGCAGCGGTGCTGAAGGGTTTCGAGAAAGCCATTAAGGAGGACATGTTTTACACTACCCTCCCACCCGAGACCATGAAGGAGCTGAAGGACATTGTGAGGGAAGGATACCAGGAAGGCGAAGCTGGGCGACTGGAAGTCCTCACCGAAGCGATGGCGAGAGGTTTCCAGCGATCTGCGGGCCCGTCGACGAGGTCGCGTCAGGAGGGTGTGGCAGGGGTTCGCAGCGGCGCTGAGCCTCGTTGTCACGAGCGGTCGGTTCCTCCGTCTTCTTCGGTGGGAGGACATGTCGGCATGCCGGTTGCATCCCCACCGGCGCGTGGCCGTCATCCCGTCGCCAAGCCCGTCGAGGATAACGAGGTCATCGTTCTCGACCAGTCGCCCCTCCCGAAGACCTCTGGGGCGGCTCCTATCCCTCCACCTGATGCGTTCGCTTCGATGCGGGATATGCTGCAGGGCCTGGGAAAAACGGGTGGGAAAGGAGTGGTTGCGGGGGAGAAAAGTGGTGCCCCGAACGAGCACGTCGCCTCGACCGGGAATAGAGCCCTTGGAAAGCGAGGTGCCCCTACCCCGTCCGGCGGCGGTGCGGGGAAAGGAGCGGGAGAGGCAACCGCTGGGTTGATGTCGAAGACTAAGGGGGCATCAGCTGCGCAGAGCGGTGCTGCTGGCCGAGCTGTCGAGCATGTGGGAAATTGGGCGTCGTCCTCAACCCCTCCAGTTGCCCCTGTCGTCGTTGCTCCGGCTCTAGGCAACGTTTGCCTTAGCGATCCGGGCTCCCCTTCTACGTCGAAGAAGAAGCCTGCTGCAACGAAGTCGTCGAAGCGCTCTGCACATGCGACAGAGAGCCTTGACGTCGAGGAGATGGCCAGCGTCCCTGGTCAGGCGCCTGTCGAGAAGACCACTATTGTCGTTGCTGCTCGATAGGAAAAGTCGAAGAAGGCCAAGGTGATGGGTTACACCCCACCTCCTCCCCCGGACGACCAAGGCAAGACGAGGGGCTGCAAAGCTCCCTTCAAAGGACAGGGTTTCGGGTTGCGGAAGGGGAAGCCGGTTTCCGAGCAGACCGTCGGCGGGAGGAAGCGGTTCTTGGGACACTTTGAAACGGAGAATGACCAAAAGTTTTGTACGGCCATCTGCTGGCGCGTGTACTTCCCCGACATAGTCCTTACCGAGTACGAAGCATTTACGGCGCAGGACGAGCAGGAGTGGAAGGTCTATCTCGATGCGGCTGCGAAAATTCCAACCGGCGTTTGGAGCGTGGCGCAAGAACAAGGGGAATGTCGTTTCGACGAGTGAGTTTTGTCGAATTCCTGTTCTTTGACATTTGTGTCGAAGTTCTGTTGTTGGTGTGTTTTGTCGAACACATGCTGTTTGACGGTGAATTCTCTATCAGTCGGATTCTGGCCTCCTAGCTTACGCGTTTGTTGCGATGTGCAGTTTCCAGTCGCTGTTGGCGACGGCAAATAAGGAAGTTCGAGCTGGAACCGACTGGGGAATCGCGCTGTGCGCGGCGATTGGTAAGGTCGCGACGCTGGGCCTGAAGCACGGGAACCTGATCTATCCGGTTCCTAAGGGCATGGCGGCGACACCACACATGATGGCCATCGCTGCAACTCTGGCGAGCTTGTGGGCGGCGTGCAGGAAGTTGTCGAGGGAGGATATTAAGAAGGATGCCCTAGCTGCCGCAAACGCTGCTCTCTTCGCCCCGGAGACTGCGACCAAGGCTTGTGTGGCTGCTATGGCCGCGCTCGTGTCCATACTTTTGCACGTCGGCAAGACGTACCGGGCGAAGCAGTGGCCCGATCAGCTGTATTTATCGGCTGTCGAAGGTCTTGGCTCGACGGACCCTGTCCTGTTGCAGATGGTTCGCGTGGCCGCACAGGTCTGCACGCAATGGTGCTGCTGTCGAGCGGCTGCCCGCTTGCTGGAGGACGGCTTCGGGCTATGGCAGCCTGACAATGCCAGAAGAAAAGAGCAAGGCGAAGCTGGGCGACGAGGATGCTACGGAGAAGGAAACGGGCGGGCAAGGGGCGTAGTATAGGCGGGCGCGAGGGGGTGTTTGTATCTCTCGACAGTTGTGTTTGTTGTTTCCAGAGTATGATCGACAGGCTGTACCTGCTGCATAATTCTTGACTTTCCGTATTCGACATGTTAAAGTAGTTCAACTAATCGATAATGCTCAACATGGCATGCAAAGTCTGAAATAAAATCCTACTGTAGTTCCCCCTCTAGTTTCCCCCCTCGTCACGGTTGCTTGTCGAACTAGGGCCCTCGCCCATTGCCTTCATGAACTCCGTCCATTTGTCCTTGAACACGTTCTCGGCCCATTCCGTGGTTCGGAGTTCGACGCGAATTAGCTCCCGCGTGATCCTGAGGCGATCTTTGTTCTTGCGGTTTTCTTCTGCGGTCTCGACTTTCCGCTTCTTCGTGAGCTGCTTGCCCGAATCCTCCTTGAGAACGAGCCCTTCCGCCAGCATGTTGATCCAGTGCTTCGTGACAATCGAGTCAAGCTTCTCAATGACCGTCGACGTAGCCGCGCTGCTGTCGTCGATCCTGAACGTCTCGACGGCCCTCATGACAACTTCCATTTTCCGCAATTTCGACTCGACAGCTTTTCGGGACGGAGGCTTTTCTTTTGGCCTGGCCTCCTCTTCAGGGGGAACGGGGGGAGGAGTCGGAGTGAACTTGCTGAACTTGACGGCGAAGCCCCTCCTGTAAGCGTGTTGAAGACTGTGTCCGTTGTTCAGCGGGCTTGGCCCGTCCCAGTAGGACCACGCCTGCCGCACGGTCTCGCAATTGCACCACGGCCACACCACAACGTCGAACAATGCTTGGTCGAGCTGGCTGCCCACGCTCTGTCGAGTGGGTGATGTTTGTGGGGCTTGCTGTGTTGGCGGGGTCGTTTCTTCGGTCGCCGTCTGCGGCACGCTCTCGTTATCCCCCACGTTCGCAGCCGCGCTTGTCACCGCGGTAATTTTAAGTGCGTCGAACGCTTTCTGCAGTCGCGCGAGAGCCTCGTCCTTCGCCTCCAACGCCACTTGCATCGCGCTCTTCTCCCGCTCCAATGACTCGACCTTCTGCTCGAGGTGTTTGATCTTGATTTCTTTTTTCCCTCCCTCCTCCTTGTGTAAGTTAACCTCCGCCCGAAGTTGCGTGATGACGTGCTTGGTGTTGAGTTGGAAGGATGCGTCCTGCACACAAGACGGTGAGCGGTGAATGGGCTGATGCAAACACTTCGGATCAAGATGTGGAAGGGCCATCTTACCGATGCTCTCGACATGGTCGGGTTGGTCCGCATCTCGATGCCGTACTTGTCGAGCAGGTACACGTCAAGCGCCCATTTTTGGAAGTCCATGTCCTTGCACAAATCCGACATCTGTGCGTACGGATGATGCTCGCAGTCACAAACAGTCACACCGTCGAAGGGATGGTCGTCACAATGGACGTAGTACATCGCAAGATCCTCTGCGATGGGCATACGGGCGGCTTGCAGGGCCTTCAAGAAACTTTTCGCTGCGAAGAACATATGCTCCTTGTCCTGCTCGTTGTTCCATTCCATCGCCTGAACAAGAAACAAACGTGGTGGCATTGAGAGAAAGACGTGCGAAACTTGCGGGCGATGATCACGCTAAGCGCTCGACGCATCCATACCTCTTGTAGCCACTGCTCCGCCTTCGGAAAGATGTGCTTCTCGATGGCCTTCAGGACCTTCTCGGGTACTTCGCTTTTCGATCTTCCGATGTAATAGTCACCCGGTTCCGTCGTGAACCCCGCCTGCAGCTGGATGGCCCCGCGCGGGATGCCTGTGACGTATGACCTCCGCATCTCGTTCATGTCCCATTGACCCAGCTGCGCGATGTTGTCGAGTTCACAGTTTTTGTCGGCGAGGATCTGTGCCGCAGACCGTCGAAAGATGTGCGTGACTTTCGACAGGATCCACTACGCGCTTTTCATCGCCCAGAGCACCCATTTCGCATGAGTTGCGTACGGCAACTCGGTCTTGTCCTTGTCGAAGAGGGTGAAGAACAGGTGCTTCTTCGACCAGTTTTCCGGGTTGCTGAAATCCAAGGGGGGCACGATCTTATCGTTCCCGTATTGGAGCGGCACAAGGTCGAATAGGAAATGTATCCACATGAACACTGCTCTGAAGCCGCACTGCCGGAAGTCCATGTGTCGAGTCAAGTACAGGTGGCCGAGCTTGTTGTCCTTGATGGTCTTCGAGTTGCGATAGGCGACCACGAGGACGTGGATCGACGATTCCCCCTTGCTGTTCGTGATGGGCGGAAGGACGTGAGTGAACATATTGCAGTAGCGAATCTCGCGGATGCTTACCCCCCTGCCCAGCATGTGATGCGCCATCAGGATCATCACCCTCACGGCCAAGGCCCTCCACAGCGACTGGCTGGGGTGACCCATCGACTCCCGAAAGTACTCCTTGGCCCAGCACGGCAGGATGTCTGAAACGAGAATGCGAAACTGCTCCTCCGTGTAAACATCATCGAGCGAGCCCCTGTGTGGATCGACGCACTGCCTGCATTGAATGGGGAGATACAATGATTAATGGGTGAGAACGGGAGTGGGAAGTTTCAGTCACCGGTGTATGGCAGCCTACTTACTCGAACTGAAAGTCGTGCAGCTGTCGCAGCTTGACCGCAAGAAGCTGCCGAGCCTCGATGATGTCGTCCAAGGGTTTCGTTAGTGGCTCGTCGAAGAGTATGGCCTGTACTTTGCAGAAGCACGTCAGCGCAGTAAGGCGCGCCAGCATCATCGGAGGGGTGCATTTTTTCGGCTTCTTTCCCGCGACTCTGGTCCGGCCTGTATCCAAGGATGCTGCCTGTGCGTCTGTTTCTGTCGACATGTATTCGACGTAAGCGCGCAAGCGCCATTTCGTAATTTTCGGCCCGTGCAGGTGCTCCTCGTTACGGAGCGCCTCCCTCCATCTCGGCCCCATATCGTCGCCGATCTTCCTACCGATCTCGTCCTCGTGGATCACCTGCTCCTCTTCAGGAACTCCGTTGTTTCTTCCGGTCGCCAGAGTTAAACAGGCCCAAGCTTTGTAGTGCATGCATCCAGAGACATAGTTCGGCCGTGTGGAATCCTGGTCAACTCCCAGCAGCGGAACCTCACAACGGAGAATCCTGCTCTCTATTGTTCCCGTCGCCAAGTACGGATTGGCGGCGCCCTGTTGGTCGCCGAGAATGTGCGCGGCATCCTCCTCTGATATATTTGCCGCGGCAGGCCGCAGAGGGTCCGGCGGTTCGACATCGTCCGCCTGCTGCTGTTCTCCCGTCCGAACATCCTCATCGTCCGTCGCTTCAGGGACGTTCCTGGCTAAGTCCTCTCTGCTTGGTCTCGTCGAAGTGCGCCGAGGAGCGGCTGGCGTAGCTCGAGCTGCGGATGTGCCGGCTGGGGGTGGTTGTCGAACCTCAGGCGGAACAACCCTCGCTCTCCTACGTCGCCCACCTGTCGAGGTCGGTGCACCAGCCGAAGGTTCTGTCGAGCGATTGGCTGTCGACGATGGTGCACGGTGAGTTGGTGCCTCGCGTGCAATGGATGGAGGGGTTGTCGTGATGGGTTCTACCACAACAGGGATGGATTGTCCTGTCGAAGGGAATTCGGTCTGTGCACCAATCACTTCGACAGTGACCGCATTGCCCGTCGAACGCTGGTCCGTAACAACCGGCTGTTGCACTACCGGTATGGGTCTCGACGTCGAGGTGGTCCCTGTCACGACCGGTATAACTCGGCTCGTCGAAGGGGGCGTTGTCGCCGACGGATCGGTCTCCATCACAGTAAACCGTAAGCTACCATCCCTCCCAAAACCTAGGCCTACTGAAAACTATGTGATGCTACAATTCTCGTTGGAGGTTTATACCGTGGTTGGGCTGATGTTCAGAGTCGTGTAGATGCTCTTACCGTGACATTTCACGTGGCCGTCACATGTTGACGTGACCGTTTGATTGCGACTGACGTAACCCGTCGCCCATCCGACAGCGACAATTCGCTCCACCGACGAGGCGACAGGTCGACGACAATGGACGTCGCCGTCGGTTGCGACCGTCGGCCGGCTGCGAAACGTGTTTCGCAACCGTCGACCGTCAGCGCGGCCGTGTAGGCGACATGCTGCCGGTGTAACCAGAGTTGTCGGTGGTGCACGGAGCTCGACGGCCATTGGCCAATGTCTCTCGAACAGTGCTCGATAAATGTCCCCCAATTTCCACTGTTACGGCTGACATATATATTGTCATAACTATACGACATTGAAACCGCGGGATTTGGAGGGTTTTTCGGCATGGTCAGCCGGGAATTTTCGGGGTCCCGGAGGGATTTCGCGGGTTTTTCGATTTGCCCCAATTCCCTCTGTGCCAGGGCGGGCGGGGCGGCATGTGCTGACGTCACGCGTATGTATATAATAGGAAGGAAATCTCACATGGAGTGCAGCAGGCAGGAGGGGAGCCGAGGGTGCCCGGGGCACCCCAGGGAGTGCAGCAGGCAGGAGGGGAGCCGAGGGTGCCCGGGGCACCCCAGGGAGTGCAGCAGGCAGGAGGGGAGCCGAGGGCGCCCGGGGCACCCCAGGGAGAGCAGCAGGCAGGGGGGCAGCCGGGGGTGCCCGGGGCACCCCAGGGTACGCAGCAGGCAGGGGGGGGATCGATGGACGACCGGGAACAGCAGTTGGAGGAGTGGTGCCGACTTTTGGAGTTTGATACCCCCATGGCGACTGCGGAGGAGTCAGAGGCGGACGGAGAACCACCCAGTCCGCCTTCCCCATGCCCCCGTTTCCCGTGTGACACGTGTTTCCACACGTTCGCCACGAGAGGGGCCGCTGCGAACCACATGAGGGTATGCCGGGCGGCTGAGGCGGAGAGACGCGCGCAGGCACTTGGCTCGATCCCGTCTCTGGTGGAGACCGACACACAGGAGCGACCGACGCCGCGGGAATTTGGGGACGAGGCGTGGGCAGGGGTTAAGTCATGGGAGTGGGAGGCATTTTTCTGTGTGGAGGCGGTTGGAGGGAGGACAGTGCGCCGGATCCCGCAGCGGGCCCGGTCCGGGGTCTTAGACGCACTCTGTTGCATCTTGAAGCGGCTGAAGAGCCGACCGGGAGATGAAGCTGCTACCCTCCTACTCCTGGCGTTTCCGCGCCTCATCCTAGCCGTGCCTCCCAAGCCAGGCATAGGTCAGAAGGCGCTGATCATAGAGCGGCTGGGGGCCTTCTGGGAGGGGAGGTGGCGGGAGTTGTTCGACGCTGCCATGGCGGCGGCACGGCCAGCAGTTCGCCCACTTGCCTACACGTGCTCTGACCAGGACCCGGAGGCCATCCGCCTGTCACGGTGCCGATCTCGGTGTAAAGTGGGAGAGTGGAGCCGTGGTTTGTCTTGCCTCACAGCAGGAGAGTTGGCTCGACCGTCTGAGGCTATGGTGCAGTCGCTGCGAGGGAAGCACCCAGCTAGCAGTGGCGAGGTACCACCGTGGGTTCGTGAGTTTACTGTCGACGCTCCTCAGCGGCCTCCACTCACGACCGACATTCTGGCTAGAGCTATCCACACAGCTGCTCGCGCCTCAGCTGCAGGGCCATCGGGATGGGTCACAGAGCATCTGCGCGACACTTTCCTCACGGAACCTTCCTGCCTCTCCCACCTGCTGGAAGTGTTCAACCAATGGGTGGCGGGACAGGTCCCCGAGCGAGCTCGGCCCTGGCTCGCCGCATCCAACCTAGTCGGGCTTTCCAAACCCAACGGTGACGTCCGGCCGGTGGCGATCGGGGAGGTGCTTCCGCGTATCCTCGCTCGAGCTCTCTGCATCTCGCTTCGCCCTGTGATGGCTTCTTATTTTCTGCCGTGTAACCAGCTGGGAGTGGGCACCAGGGCCGGGGTGGAGATTCTTACTCATTCTTTCCGGTCAGCGCTGGCCACTCACCCCGACTGGTGTGCGCTGCAGATAGATGTCGCGAACGCCTTCAATTCGTTTCATCGCCACGCGATGTTCGAGGGGCTGAAGGAGTCGCCTTTCTCAGGAATGATCCCATTCTTGCGTGTCTTCTATGGGACACCTAGCGACCTGTACCTCCGAGCGGGCCCTTTCGTACAGAGTCTTGAGTCGGCACGAGGATCGCGACAGGGGGACCCGCTCGGCCCTTTTCTTTTCGCTTTCACGCAGCAGCAGGTGCTGGGGACGGTGACTAGAGAGTTCAGGGACCTACTTTTCTTGAGCTATGCAGACGATACCTACATCCTGGGACCAGCGGCTAGGATTCTGGAGGCTTTTGGGGTGCTGCGAGAGAGGTTGGAGTGGGTGGGGCTGGAAGTGCAGGCGCACAAGTGCAGGTTTTGGGAGCGTGGAGGTGGGGATATGGAGCGGGCATTGCCTTTGGGGATGCAGCGGGAGGAGGAGGGTCTTATTGTGGTGGGCGTGCCTATTGGGGAGGAGGATTGGGAGGGGGCCCGATTACGGAAG